CCAATGACTTATTCGATGGTAAATTGGAACTGATACATGCCAGAGACAGTCAAACTCGCCATCAGCTTGCTTTTAAGCAGTCCTCAAAAATGGCCACCATTGACAACTTATCAGCACGTGATTATGACTAACACGTATTATCAATGAAACTATTTTCGAACCGCAAAAAAGTGAACACAGAGTGAGTATTAGATTCCGACTGTGTGGGGAAAAATAACCTTGAATTACTGGTGGTGCTAGTGAAGCAATCTCGCTTTTCGTTGGTGAACGTTGGTTGATGTCTTTGAAAACTTTTTTCCAGTGCTTATATCGTTCTGACATCTGTAATACAAGAGGGCGTTACCAGGAATTTCAATAAAATGAGGCAAAAAGAGGAAAATGAGGTTCAAACACGGATATATATAAAATTCCATTACAAGCAATGGGCCAAAAATCTTGATAAAAAAAAGACCTTCATCATGATTGTCTCGATATTCATATGTATTTTTGTATTTATGCAAACACAAAAACGCATAATGGTAAGAGGTTGTCTGTATGTGTCTGCACTCGCATTTTTTGTCATCCACTTTCAACTCGAAAACCAGAAAAGCTAGAAGACTGAGATTGCTGGATCATGTTCTCATTTTATGTGCTACCTTTCCACCGCCCTATTTTAATATTTTTGTTCGCGCACGCTTGGACCTCACGTACGGACGTCTAAAAGAAAATGTACAAATCTTTTGGCGGAAAAGTGGTTCCGAAAACCAGACAAGATAGGAAGCTGAAACTTCACAGTGGTGTTCCATGTCATTGTATGAGCTAAAGATTTCAAATTCAGCTTTGAAGCATGCCTAGGTCTTACATTAATGCATTTGATTGTTTAATTCCAGACATTCCTGGCCTCCTATAAATTCGGCAACCAAATCTGAGTATTTTTCTGAGGATGTCTTCTGCTGATGTGCGGACCACCACCAAGCATAAGGTAAGCTCCCGTCCGGGCGTAAGCTCCGCCCACCAGCGCATCAAATTTTCTAATTGCGTTCTCACCACTGGAACAGGCGGTCTCTCTAAAGGATGAAGTCATGCAAAAACACGTCATCGCAAGCAAGCTCGATGCTTTGATACCTATGTTTACCACTGTGAAAAACGTCTGTCCTCATCTGCGGGTGCGACCAATGACGGGGTCTTGTCGCGCGGTGTTGAATTAAGACGTATATGACTTAATGGACCAAAATGTCTTATCTCACTGTTGCCTTCTTCTCTCATGCTGTAATCTATCGCGTCTTCGTCATTCAGGCTTTTCAGGGTCAATCTGGTTGCTACAATCACCGGCACAATGGAAAGTTTCGGGCGCAAAAAACTTTTGGACATCGACCCTCTATTCCCTCTCATCAGCACAACACTCGGCGATGTAACGGGGGAAAACCTTATTTTACAATAAAATTTTTAAAAATTTAAGAAAAATTTAACAAAAAACGTTGAAAAACGACAAAAAAGCATCCCGGTGCCATCGAATATAAC